CCGTGACCGTCAAAAAGCGACTCAGGATGAAAAACCAGTCCTGGGGAATGGGTTGAGACTTCCAGGGACTCCGCATTGAAAAAATCACGGCATCGGATCTCTGGGGGTGCAGCATCGGCTTGCACCCCTCTGGAGCTGGCAGGGTTCCGACGCTCAGGGTCAAGTCGGGCCTGTCCCTCTACAGGAGGAATCTTCAGAAGTAGTCGAAGAGTAATGTGGGGGCCATGTTTTGCGCATGGTTTGTACATGTTTGGATATTCGGGATATGCCCGACCTCAGCACGCGGGCCACGTTGGCAGGCTGGGCCTGTGTACCCTTCTTGAGTGGCCTGTCCTGGGCAGGAGTGGCGCGGCTGCGCCTGCGGCCGGCGCGGGCTTCTGCACACTAGTTTGTTGTTCCGCGCACAAGCTGACACTGGCCCGAAGTCGAGTTGTTGTTGAGCTCTGGTTCATGAAGAAAGGTTATTGTGGATCCCCCTCCGACGCACATCTGTATTTTTCACTTTCAGTTCCCCTCCTGGTTCTCGCACCCTGCTTTTGCATTTCGAAAAATCAGGGGAAGTAGTGAGGCTCAGATCGGCCCCCTGGCCCCCGAAGTACACCAACAACAACAATACGTTTAAGACTGTTCGCTCTTATTTGCTCGCGTGCCGTTCAACACGTATATCCCGAGCCCTCGACACCCACCCTCTTCGTCTTCGACCGTACACCCTTGGGAGTATAATGTTCTTAGCCGTTGTAGCGCACGGCGGGACGCCAAGCATCAAAACGAAAGGCTTAAGTTTCAGCTTAAGCTTCAACTTCGGATTCAGCATGCGAGGCGAGGCAGACGCGTGCGAGGCGAGAGCGGTTTGGGGAGGTCCAGGGAGGGTCTGCAGCCCACGGCGCCAACGACCATGATCAGAATTACAGATTTGTTTGCATTGCAGGTGTTTCTTGCATTGCAGTTTTTGTTGTGCATTGCATGTCTTGTTGCCTTGCAGCTTTGCCGTTCTAGCTTCAGCTTTGGATTCCGCGTGCGAGGCGAGAGCGGTTTGGGGAGGTCCAGGGAGGGTCTGCAGCCCACGGCGCCAACGACCATGATCAGAATTGCACGTTTCGATTGAATTGCAGTTTTTACTGTTGCATCGCAGTTTCTGTTGCATTGCAGCTTTGACGTTCGAACTACAGCTTTGGATTCCGCGTGCGAGGCGAGAGCGGTTTGGGGAGGTCCAGGTAGGGTCTGAAGCCCACGGCGCCAACGGCCATGATCAGAATTACAGTTTGTTTGCGCTGCAGCTGTTTTCTGCATTGCAGTTTTTGCTTGCATTGCAGATTTGCCGTACTAACTACAGCGTTGGATTCCGCGTGCGAGGCGAGAGCGGTTTTGGGAGGTCCAGGGAGGGTCTGAAGCCCACGGCGCTGACGACCATGATTAGAATTTAATGTTGTTTTGCATTGCAGCTGTTTTTGCATTGCAGTGTTTGCCTGCATTGCATTACATTTGTTGTTGCATTGCAGCTTTGCCGTTCTAGTTTCAGCTTTGGATTCCGCGTGCGAGGCGAGAGCGGTTTGGGGAGGTCCAGGAAGGGTCCGCAGCCCACGGCGCCAATGACCATGATCAGAATTACAGCTTGTTTTGCATTTCAGTTTTTGTGAGCATTGCACTTGTTTTTGCTTGCAGTTTTTGTTGCCTTGCAGCTTTGCCGTTCCAGCTTCAGCTTTGGATTTCGCGTGCGAGGCGAGAGCGGTTTGGGTAGGTCCAGGAAGTGTCTGAAGCCGTCGGCGCCAACGACCATGATCAGAATCACAGTTGTTTTTCATTGCATGTTTCGTTGCATTGCTTTTTGTTGGCAGGTTGTTGTGCATTGCATGGTGAGGTCCAGGGAGGCTTTGAAGCCCATGGCGCCAACGACCATGATCAGAATTACAGTTTTTTGGCATTGCAGTTTTTCCCGGAAAGGGCGCGGGCCCAGGGTTCTCTTTTAGATGGTTTACCCCCGGTTTTGATTTGAAGGAGACCGGCGGATTTCCGCTCGATAGAAAACAAAGTAAAGTCCAATTCGGCGTGAAAAAATACGTTTCGCGCGTGCCCGCTCGAGGAAAGTCGACCCCCCACTTCGGATCCTCGATAAATAACGGTGTCCACGGGCCCCCGTTTTCCCTAGTAAAAAAGACGGTGCGGGGCATTTTTTAGCAGAATCCTCGAGAAAAACCATGGTCTGGAGCCTCGACCGAGACACAAAAGATGTGAACATGTTGATTTGTTGTGTGCCCGCTCGAGGATGGCGCGTCCTGCGCGCAGAAATTATGGGGATGTCTCGAGCGAAACGCTCGTTTTATAACATTTGACGGACCTGGGCGCCCCAGCATACTTCAGGAGGCCTTGGGAGCGCGGACGCAGCGTAATCTACGAGGGATCGTGGCGTTTGGAGTGCGGACCACGCGTAATTTGCGACGGATCGTGGCCCTCGGAGCGCGGGCGCAGCGTAATTTAGGGGTCGGGGCCTTGGGAGCGCGTCCCCTGGCACGTCCCGTGGCACGTCCATTGGCACGTTCCGTAACGCGTCCCCTCGGCTCGTCCCGCGGTGCGTCCCCGTGGTACGTACCCTGACACGTCCCCTGTCACGTCGCCTGGCGCGTCCCTTGGGACGTTCCGCGGCGGGTCCTCCTTGCATGCCCCTTAGTCAATTAGCTTTGGGGCAGCTACTATGTGTTCAGGCAGCTCGAGCTTAAGATCCAGATCAGTTCGGCCAGGACTCGGATGCAAAGGAGGACTCGATCCACAACACTTAGAGCACAACCGCGGCATCGCACATCGCAATTTTGCACGTCGCAGCACAGCACAGCCTTCGGCACGGTACGTCAAGATCGATACACTCAGCATTGCAACTTGGTACGTTCCCTGGCACGTTCAGTGGCGCGTCCCTTGGCGAGTCCCCCTGGCACGTCGCGCGGCGCGTCCCCTGGCACGTCCCGTGGCACGTCCATTGGCACGTTCCGTAGCGCGTCCCCTTGGCACGTCCCGCGGTGCTTCCCCATTGCAAGTCCCCTGACATGTCGCCTGGCACGTCCCTTGGGACGTTCCGCGGCGCATCGTCCTGGCATGTTCCCCTGTCAATTAGCTCTGGGGCAGCTACTATGTGCTGAGGCAGCTCGAGCTTCAGATCCAGATCAGTTCGGACAGGACTCGGATGCAAATGAGGACTCGATCCACAACGCTATAGGGCACAATCGCGGCATGGCACATCGCAATTCAGCATGGTGCAGCACAGCACAGCCCTCGGCACGGTACATCAAGATCGATACACTCAGCATTGCATTTGCCCGCCGCCCAATCAGGTGCCTTTGAAGCGTTGCCATGCCTTCCATTTCTATATTCCTTTCCCGGTTCGTGGTTCGATAATGTTTTTGCATTGCAATTTTGCCGTTCTAGCTTCAGTTTTGGATTCCGCGTGCGAGGCGAGAGCGGTTCGGGGACGTCCAGGGAGGGTCTGAAGCTCACGGCGCCAACCACCATGATCAGAATTACACGTTTTGATTGCATTGTATTTTTTGGTACTACAGTTTGGTTTGTCGTGTTTAGCATTGCAGCTTGTCTTGCATAACAGTTTTGCCGTTTTAGCTTCAGCTTTGGGTTCCGTTTGGGATTGGTTATTGGGCACCTCTTGGGCCTCTCTTGGGCCATCTTGGAGTCATCTTCGAGGTAATCGATGAAAGAAGGGGAGGTATTTTTCTCCGCGCCAACGTCAGGACTCCCATAATCGCTTCTTGGGCCCCTCTTGGTCCCCGCTTGGGGCGCTCTTGGAGCCATCTTGGAGCCCTCTTGGGATCTTTTTTCGGTCATCTTGGAGCCATCTTGAACCCGCAAGAGCCCATCGGAAGCGAAATGGAGATAAAGCAAACATGTTCGGTTTATAAACGTTTTTGCGACACCTCAAGGAGCCTCTCAGAGCGGTAGATAGTGAAGGTCCTCGGGGCCCCTGTGCCATGCCTGTGTCTTCCGCGGCCCCTGCGGCTCAAGGAGTTCTGGCGAGGGGATGGACTGGGCCTTCCGAGGGCTCCAGGCTGTGGCCCCGCTCGCGCCGTATCTCCTCCCTCCGCGGTGCCCCGATTGCAGCTGCGTGGCAGACTGCTCGGTGCCGACGGAGATCGTCGGGCTGCTGGGCAGGCAACTCGACAGGTGCGGCCCGGAGCAATTGACCTGCCCGGTCTGCCCAGGCTGCCCTGAGGTGCGCTGCCCGGCGCCGGGGCCAGCGCTGGGGGCCTTCGCCGCTGGAGCGGCTATCGGCGCCCTGACCACCGCGCTCGTGGGGGCGGTCTGGAGGTTGCGCCGGCCGACGGCGCTGCAGGCGGGGCGGCCCGCGCTCGAGGACGACGAGCTGCTCTTGGCGCTGGACGCCGGCGGCCCAGCGGCCGCTCCGGCCAGCGAGGACGAAGGGCGCCTGGCCGCGACGCCCGCCTCCCTGCGTGCTAGGCGCCGCTGATGGCGCGAAGCCTCGACATCCCAGAGGCGCAGGTCGCGATCGACTTCTTCGACGACCCGAACGGGTTCCTCTTCCACGTTCGGGTGCTCCTCGTGCCGGCGGGGGCGGGCAAGTGGATCTGGGTCACCCCGGACCACAGCGTGCAGTTCGGGGACCTCACCACGCACCGCGTGGTGCCGCTGCCTCGGAACTCGCCGTTCCCTCGCCGGCTGGCGGGCCAGCTGTATGCGTTCGACCCGTTCGAGGAGGGCGAGCTCGAGGCCATTCGGGAGCAGGCGGCGGCGCTGGCGGCTGTGCTCGGCATCGACGTGCCGCGCGGAGCAGCGGCGGCCCCTCCCCGCTGGGTGGTGGCCGACCCCGCTCACCCGCAGTTCGGGCAGGTCATCGACGCGGCGATCAGCGGGGCCGAGGACAGGTTCGTGCGCCGTGGAGCTGTGGCATTGGCGATGCTGGACGGGAGCGACGACGACGGGATCTTCACAGCTTGCGAGAACGTGCCGGAGGAGCGGCACCAGCTATGGCTGGACGAGAAACACTCGGGGCCCGGTCGGGATCCTCGGGTGTGTCCCCTCCGGCGGATAGGACCAGGTGGGCCTCGACGTGCAACCTTGGATCAGGCCATCGAGGCGCACCGCCCGCAGGACGTCGGCGACTGGGTGTTCCGAGGGCCGAAGTCGCTGCCCGAGTTCCTGGACAGTGTACGCGCTTCGGGGCTGGGCATCGCGGGCTACGCGAACCACTACATCACCAGCAGTGGGGTGCCACCCGGCAGCGCCGCTGCGCACGAGATCCGCCTTCTGCTCGAGGCCCTGCGGCACCTCATCGAGTACGACCAGGTCGACGTCACGAATCTTGCAGGGGCCGAGCTCATCGCAAGGAGGATCGTGCAGATGCAGCGTGCCATTCGGCGCGACCCGAAGCATCCCAACTACTCGGGCTTAGAGGACATGCTGGCCTCGGCGCTCGACGAGACAGGAGGGGTGGTCACCAGCAAGTTCGACGAATGGGTCGCGCAGGAGCAGAAGACAAAGGCAGTGATCATGAAGAACACACGGCTATACACAGAGGAGAGAGACGCCGAAGCCAGAAAGTCTGGCGGAGGCGGAGCGGGGAGCGGCAACAAGAAGCAACCTGGGGCGGGACGTTCCGCTCCACCCGTCCTCCATCCCGGAGGCAGGGCTCCAGGTGGCCAAGGACCAGCTCTACGGCCGCCGCATTTTTGTTCACAATTTTGTCTCGAAGGGCACGTCGTCGGCATGGCGTCCGACCCCTTCCCCCTGGTGCTGCCCTCCGACTTCTTCGAGGAGACCAGCCGAGAGCGTCCGGCGGGCCGCCGCGCCGCTCGCCGCCGCACGAAGCGGGACTGGACGCGCAGGGCGACCGAGGACATCTTCTCGAGCCTGAACGCGCTGGCCGCCGCTCGAGCGTCACACACCCTCCAGCCAGGACGGGTGCGCCAGACTTCGACGCTGACCCCTTCGCAGGAGTCCGCGCTTGGCCGAGTGGTTCGATCGGTGGCTCGACATGGTCCGCCTCCGCCCGACGCTCGACCTCGAGAGGCCTTTCAGGAGCTTCTCAAGTCCAGCAACATCTACTCCGAGGAGGGTCGGCTCACGGTTCGGCCCTTCGTTCAGGACAAGGTCTCCCTCTTGCAGGGCTCGGTGGAGCCTCGGGAGGCGCTCGACCTCGTCCCAGATCACGTTCGACAAGTTTTGATGGAACCCGAGAAGTTCCTGGAGCGGCACTCGGACGAGCTCGCAGACGAGCCCCACATCGAGCCGTACTGGGATCCTCTCTTGAACCCGAGGGTCCGCGCCAACCACCCGCGCCTGCTCGCGCTGCTGAAGCGCCTTGCCGACATGGGGATCGTGGTGGCCACTCGTCGGAAGAAGGCCACGGTGGGGCTGTTCTTTGTCGAGAAGAAAGGGGATCGCCTCCGCGTGATCGTGGGCGGCCGACAGCCCAACCAGTACCACCGGCTACCCCCACAGACCAGCATGGCTTCAGTGGAGGCGCTCGCGTCGGTGCAGGTTGGGGCCGACTGGCGACGGCGCTGCTCGATGAAGCCGGACGAGGCCGCCTTGTACGCGGCCACGGTCGACCTGAAGGACGGCTTCCACCAGTTCAAGATTCCGCACCTGTCCGAGTGGTTCGTGTTCGACATGCCCGGGGTCCAGGCGAAGGACCTAGGCGTACACCAGGTCTACGACGGCGACGCGAAGGCTTTCGTGGACGTCGCCCCGGACGACTACGTGTGGCCGGCCTACGGCGGACTGGCGATGGGCTGGTCCTGGGCGCTGTGGATCTGCCACGAGACGTTGGCGCAGGTGATGCGATCCTCGGCAGGTCCTCGCGACGCTATGGTGCTGGACAAGGCGCCAGCGGCCCAGCTAGAGCCGGGGATGGTCGGCGACTTACCTTACGTCGACAACGCCAACATCATTGGTATCGAGCAGGACCTCGTGCAGGACCGACTCGAGCGCATGACGGCGGCTCTCGACCAGCTAGGCTTGAAGTGGCACGAGAGGCAGGACGCAGGCATCGAGGTCGAGATCCTGGGCGTTATCGTCGATGGCGTGCAGGGCCTGGTTCGTCCCAAGCCGAAGCGCCTCTGGCGGCTGCACGGGGGCTTGACCTTTCTTCTGAGATGGCGCAAGGCCGCGGGGTGGCAGATCCGTGCTGTTCTGGGCCACCTGGTGTCCTTCTTCCAGCTGATGAGGCCAGGGCTCTCGATCTTCCGGGTCTTGTACGACTTTGTCCAGCAGGACCTCGGCGAGATCCGCGAGTTGCCGACGGCCGCGCTGCACGAGCTGAAGATCGCCAGGTCGCTGCTCTTCATGGCGGTAGGACGCTGGGGGCTGCCCCCCTGCCCCGTCGCCTTCATGACGGACGCCTCCATGAAAGGCTACGCGCTCTTGGAGACCGATGCGAGGCCCGGGGAGGTTCGCAATCTCTGCCGCTTTCGGGAGCGAGCTCGCTTCAGCCGTCGAGAGAAGTTCGTGGAGCGCGAGCACGACGGCTTCAAGGGCTCCATGGCGATTGGCGACGCTGGCGAGGGCTGGTGGGACGGGCTGCTCGAGCGGAGCCGTGCTCGCGGGCCCGTGCCGGAACGCTGCCGAGTCGAGGTCGACTCTGGCTGGCGACCGCCGCCGCTACCCGACGACTTCGTCGACCCCGGGCGCTGGGAGCTGGTTGTTGCTGGGGCCTGGCGCGACGCGAGCCGCATCCACGACTACGAGGCGCGCTGCGGGCTGATGGGCCTGGCTCGAGCTGCCAGTCATCCGCCGTACCACGACACGGAGCTCCTCTCCGCAGGGGACAACGTGGGCTCGGTCTTGGCCTTCGAGAAGGGCCGCGCGGCGAACAGGGAGCTCCTCTCACAATGCCGACGGGCGGCCGCGCTGCAGCTGGCCTCCGGCATCGTGTGGCGACAACGGCATGTCGAGGGAGTGCGGAACGCAGCGGACTACATGAGTCGGGCGGCGGACCGCGGGCTGTTGCAGCCCGGCCAGGTGTGGCGAGGGCCGCGCGGTCGTCTTCCATCCGGGCGCCCTCCCGATCGTCTCTCCATCCCTGCTTTGAAAAAGCCTTCTACAAGGAGCTCCAACGAGGTACCTCCAGGGCGCCCATCAATGAGAGCCAGTCATCGAGCTGTGGGGCTTCTTCCTGGGCTAACTCCCCCACCTGGTCTGGTACTTCCTCCTGTCCCCGAGCGTCTTGGAGGTCAAGAGGGTTCGTCACCCAGGGCCAGGCACGACGTTCCAGGGCACCTTCCCGAGCTACGTCCTCCACCAGGTCTCGATCCTCCTCCCACTCCTGCGCGTCTTGGAGGTCAGGTTGGACAGAGGCCTCGACGGGGCCGGCGCTTCTTCCTGGAGATCTTCTCGGGCGAGGGGTACCTGACGGGGGCCATCCTGGAGGCTGGGCTGCGTGCAGGGGTTCCCATGGACCTCGTGAAGGGCCCGCAGTTCGACATCACGGACCCGAAGGTCCAGAGGGTTGTCATCGGGTGGATCCGCTCCGGCGCTATTTGGCTCATGCATCTTGCGACCCCGTGCACGCGGTGGTCGATTGCACGCTCTTCGGGCACCGCAGAACCCGCGGGAGGGCTGGCCGCGGCGCGCTTCACAGTCCGCCTGATCCAGGAGTGCCGGCGATCTGGGGTCCACTTCACTCTCGAGAATCCTCAGCGGTCGCGCCTCTGGACGTGGAGACCTCTGGCGAGGGCGCTTCGGGCGTCAGCTTCCACGTTTGTCGACCTGTGCCAGTGCCGCTTTGGGACGCCCTTTCAGAAGCCTACGAGGCTTGCGGCCTCCCACCCGCTGTTCGCCTCCCTGGCCCGCGAGTGCAGGTGCCGACGGCACTGCGAAGTTCTGCAGGGCAAGGTTTTGGTGAGGGGACGCTGGGAGTGGAAGACCAGTCTAGCTGCTGCCTATCCGCCCAGCTTGTGCCGCGCCTATGCCAGCGCCGCCCAGCTCATGGCGCCCCCGGCGGCCGCAAGGCCAGACGGAGAGGCCTACCTCGAGCGCCGCTGGGAGCGACAGCTGGCGTCCGCGTGTGGCTGCTCCAGCGTCGCAGTCGACGCCCCGCGATGCCCGCTCAGGTACCGGCTGCCGTGGCACGGCTGCCAGAGGCGCTGGGACTAGGGCGCGCGGCCACGGTCGTCGAGCTCGGGCGGAGCCGCGAGAGCGGGCGCCTGGCTTCTTGCGGCGGGCCACAGTGCGCCAGGCAACCGCGGCGCGCTACTCTGACTGCGTGGAGGGGCTCCACGACTTCGTCGCCTGTAACGGCGGGAGCCTCTCGGACCCGCGGGCGGCCGACGCCACTCTGGAGCGCTACTTCGAGTCGCTCTTCCTCGGCGGCGAGGCCAAGGCCAACGCCCGATGGTGCCTCTACGGGCTGGCCTGGCAGCAGGGCTGGGCGACCAAGGGCGACGCCTTCCCCAAGGCCAAGCAGGCTCTCAAAGGCTGGGACCGACTCGAACCACCTGGAAGCCGCGAGCCCGCGGTCTGGGAGGCAGTGCTGGCCGTCGCGGACGATCTCATCGGGCGCGACTTCCAGTCCACGCTTGCAGGAGCGCTGCTGCCCGTTGCTTTCGACGGCTACCTGCGACCGTCTGAGGCGCTGGGCCTGCGCGGTGCCGATGTCTTGCGGCCGCCGCGCTCTGGACCCCAGAAGCTGTGGGCGGTGACAGTGGCCCCAGCGACACAGCCAATTCCCTCGAAGACTAACACGTTCGATGACACGGTCTTCTTGGGCAGTGCGGCCAAGGGCCAGGGCTTCGTGGGCAGCATTCTCGATATCTTGCTGGCGCGTGCGGGCCCGGGACCGCTCTTTGCGGGCTTGACGCTAGCACAGCTGGAGGCCGCCGTGAACGCCGCCTGCCGCCGCCTGCAGCTGCCTGCGGCTTTCACGCCGCACTGCCTTCGTCATGGCGGCGCCAGCCGAGACGCACTAGAGAAGTTCGAGGACCTGCGCTCAATCCAGCGCCGAGGCCGCTGGAAGGCGCGGGAGAGCGTGCGTCGATACGAGAAGGCTGGCACTCTGCTTCGGGTCCGATCAAAGTTCTCTCAGTTATTCTTGTCGAGAAGCCTTCGCCTGAGCTCTGCCCTCCCAGGAAAACTTCGGGTGGCCCTGCGAAAGCACAGACGCCCAGGGTGATGTGAGCCTTCCTGCCCGTTCTAATCTCTTTCTTTTGGTTGCAGACCGTCGTGCTTCGCCCCTCCCGACCCGCCCCGACAGGCCTGCCATGGTACAAGTATGGGTCTTGTGGGTATGGGGTTGGCAAAGACGGGGTAAGCGCACGCGTGCTGGACCACAGTCTTCAAAGCACCTTTTCAGTTTGCGCAGCGAGCTGCTCTGGAAAAGATTGTGAATGGACAGTTGGTTGATCGTCTCATCTCGCCCATCGCCCTTTGTCTGTCCTGTTTCCTGTCTCTCTTTGCCACAGCAGGGTGAGAGGCGCTGGATGGGTGTTGCATGTTCGGTTTATAAACGTTTTTGCGACACCTCAAGGAGCCTCTCAGAGCGGTAGATAGTGAAGGTCCTCGGGGCCCCTGTGCCATGCCTGTGTCTTCCGCGGCCCCTGCGGCTCAAGGAGTTCTGGCGCCCACCCTCCCAGCCCTAGGGGTTGGCAAAGACGGGGTAAGCGCACGCGTGCTGGACCACAGTCTTCAAAGCACCTTTTCAGTTTGCGCAGCGAGCTGCTCTGGAAAAGATTGTGAATGGACAGTTGGTTGATCGTCTCATCTCGCCCATCGCCCTTTGTCTGTCCTGTTTCCTGTCTCTCTTTGCCACAGCAGGGTGAGAGGCGCTGGATGGGTGTTGCATAGCTGTTTGTCTTGAATCGCTTCGCTCATTCCGCCAGCCTGTATTGTGCCATCGCTGGCTTTGGGGCTGTTTCCGGGCCTCTTTGGGACCTCCTGGGGGCCTCTTGGGGGCCTCTTGGAGTTCTCTCAGGGCGTTTTGGGAACCTCTCGGAGCCTCTTGGGGTCTGTTGGGGGCTTCTTGGAGCCTCCTGGGCGCCTCGTGGGACCGATTACTCGAAATGTCCGTTCGGGTTCCCCGTCTGGGCCCCCTCTTGGGGCCGTCGTGGGGCCATCTTGGGCCGTCTTGAGGCCCTCTTGGACCCTCTTGGAGCTCTCTTGGAGGCCTCTTCGGCTGTCTTGGAGCAATATTCAGGGCCTCGTTGGCCGTCTTTCAGCGTCGGGAAGCCGAACAGGTGAGAACGCCAAAATCTTTCAGAAACCAAAGGAAATCGATGAAATGTGCCTCCTGGGCCCTCTTGAGAACTCTTCGTGGAGACCTCTTTGGGCATCTTGGAGGCGTCTGCGGCCGTCTGGAGGCTATCTTGGGCGTGTTGGACCGATCGGTCGGCGACTCGGAGCCCCCTTGGACCATCTTTGGGGCCTCTTGAGGCCGTCTTGGGGCGCTCGGGGGGTCCAGAAAACCGCCCAGGAGAGTTCCGGCATCCTTGGGCGGATCTTGCCGGGACCTTGCTGGTGTATCTATCGTCCGGGGACTTCAGGAGCCTGCCCTCGCGCGCGAATTAGAAATATCGTTTACCGGTTACTGGAGATTTTAGCACGCCTCTGGCCCGCTGGGCCAGCGAGTTACGGTTTTAGGAGGGGTTCCGCCTCCTGGAGGCCTCTCGGGGCGCTCTTGAAGCCATCTTGGAGCCATCTGGGGCCCCTCTTGGGCATCTCTTGGGCCTCTTTTGGGCCATCTTGCAGGCCATCGACCAAGAAAGAAGGCGGCGTCAATTGGGACCCCCCCGCCGGAACCCTCAATATCGCCTCTTGGAGCTCTGTTGGGACGCTCTTGGGGCTGTCTTGGGCGCTCTTGGGCCCGTTTTGGGCCTCTCTTGGACCCCTCTTGGGGATCTCTGGGTTCATCTCGGAGCCATCTCGAGGCTCCAGAAGCGAAAAGGCGACAAGGCGAGAAGGCAAACAAAAACATCGATTTCTATTGGGTTTTAGACGGTTGTTGGCCTCTCCAGGGCGTCCTTGGGAGGCCCTTTGGCCATTTAAAGCCGTCTTAGAAGGATCTTGAAGCCTCTTGGAGGTATGTTGCAAGCTACCTTTGGCCATGTTGGGCTATCTTCAGCGATCTTGCAGGCTATATTTTGCTCTTTGGGGCCTTCTTGGAGCCATCTTGGGCCATCCTGGACGCTCTGACCGCTCGCGAAATGCCCCGTCCAGGTCCAGGGGGAGGGGGTTACGGAAGAAGACGAAGGGGGTTGGAAGAGGGGGGCAACAAAACCACTCACGCCCTAAAGGGGTGGTGGGATTTTAGCCCCCTCCTCTGGGACCGTCAAAATCGCGTCTTGAGGCCCTCTGGGGCCCCTCTTGGTCGCTTCTTGGAGGCCTCTTGAGGCGTCTTGGGCGTCTCCTGGCAGTCCCGGGAGCCTCTTGAAGCGTTTTGGCTGCCTCTGGGGGGGGAAGAGGCTCTTGAGGCCTTTTGAGGGCCTTTTTGAGACCGGTTGGGAGTCTTTAGAAGCCTCTTGGGGGTTTTCTTGGAGCGCCTTCGGCGCCTCTGGGGGCCCTTGGAAACCTAAGGGGCCCTCTTGGGACCATGAAAGACAGAGAAAGAGAAGCAAGTAGAGAGCCCAGAGAAGGAGAAGACAGTAGAGAGCCGCGTCAGCTGCCATATCAGTTCTTCTGCCCCAAAGCAAAGTAAGGCGCTGTGGCATAAGAGAAGTCTCGAGCGACAGCTCGATTCCCAAGTCAATCGTAAGGAAATCCGCAGCGAGAGCGTGACTCCTGAATATCGAGGGCACGGGTTCTGAATAAATTGCAAGGAAATTTCACGCGAGAGCGCGATTCCTGAACAAATGTGAGAAAGTCCCGCGCGAGAGCGCGATTTGGGAATCAACTGTGAGGAAGTATCAGGGGGGAGCAGTTGTTTTTGCAGTTCGGGGTTCGGGGCCCAACAACGCAGTTTGAGGAGGACGACTTTCCATTATAAGAAAGAGCGTGTTCTACCGCTGCTGGCGGAAAATCGGGGGGGGTCACTAACTACCGGTTCGAACCCCCTTTCCCCCCCCCCGGAAAACCGGCGGGGGCCTCCCCCTCACCCCCAGTCCATCATGAAATGAAAAGGGGGGGGTGTCACTACGGGTTCGAACATCCCCCCCCTCGAAAACCGGGGGGGGGGTCACTACCGGTTCGAACCCCCCCCTTCCCTCGAAAACCGGGGGGGGGGTGCGGACAGTGGTGGGGACGGTGGTGGTGGGGACAGTGGCGAGGGGACAGCGGGACAGTAGTGGGCTCAGTGGGACAGTGGTGGGGACGGTAGTGGTGGGGACAGTGGTGAAGGCGGTGGTGAGGACAGAGGAGGGACAGTAGCACAGTGGGGAAAGTGGTGGGGACAGTGGGGCAGTGATGGGGACAGTGGGGACGCAGGGACAGCACACTGGGACAGCGGCGGGGACAGTGGGACAGTAGTGGGTACAGATGGGGCAGTGGGACAGTGGTGGAGACCGTGGGGGAAGTGGGGAGAGTGGGACCGTGGTGGGACAATTGTGGGGAGAGTGGGGACATTGACACACTGGTGGGGGCACTGGTGGGGACAGCGGGGACAATGAACAGTGGGGACAGTGGGACAGTGGTTGGGACGGTGGTGGTGGGGACAGTGGTGTGGGGACAGTGGGAATGTGGTGGAAACACTGGGACAGTGAAGGGTAGAGTGGTGGTGGGGACAGTGGTGAGGGCAGTGGCGAGGACGGCGGTGGGACAATGGGACAGAGGTACAGTGGGGACAATGGTGGGGACAGTGGGGACAGTGGTGGGAACAGTGGGACAGCTCAGTGGGACAGCGGAGGAGACAGTGGGACAGCGGGGACAGTGGGGACAGTCGGGCAGTGGTTGGGGCCGTGGAGAAAGTGGGGAGAGTGGAACCGTGGTGGGAACAGTGGTGGGGACAGTGGGGACAGTGCGACAGTGGTGGGGGCACTGGTGGGGACAGTAGGGACGGTGGTGGAACCAGTGGGGACAGTGGTGGTGAGGACAGTGGTGCTGGGAACAGCAGTGGGGGATGTGGTGCGGACGGTGGTAGGGACCGGGAGTCCTTTGCTGGCGGTGAGGGGGGGGAGGGGGAGGGGTTCGAACCGGTAGTGACCCCCCCCGGTTTTCGAGGGAGGGGGGGGGTCGAACCGGTAGTGACCCCCCCGGCTTTCGAGGGGGAGGGGGGGGGGCGGGGGGGGTGGCCCCCAGGGGAGCGATTTTCGGAGCGGGGTGGGGACCCCCGGGCTCCGGAGGAAGGGGGGGAATTTTCCACAGTAAAGCGGCGGTGGATCACGCTCTCTCCATTATAAGAACAGGGTGCGAGCCCCGACAAGGGCATTTCAATTGTAAAACACATATGTTACCAGAGGGGAACAACGAATTATCCTTCAGCAGTGAGGGTTCTTTCTCTTTAACAACAACAACAACAACAACAACAACAACAACAACAACAACAACAACAACAACAACAACAATTACTAGCACGTGGGGGCACTCCGTTCTCACCAGTGCCAGGGTTTTCATAGGAGGCGGGCAATACCCCCACTTTGTGGGGGGGCCGGTTCAAGCTCTACCAAATTTCCAAACGACTCTTCGCCACCACCCACACCCAGCGTCCCGCCCTATGACGTTCGGACACTTCACTTCGTGGCATGCGGACGACCGTGGCTACTATTCAGGCCCCGCGGCCGACGACGACGGCGTGCGCGCGCGAAGAAAAAACGAATGTGTCCCGCATGGTATTATTTGACAGGGATGATGGCCCTGGCAGGTGCGCAACCGTTGTCGCAGAAGTTCGAAAAAGTTGCTCGCAAAAGCCCGTTTGACAGAAATGTTTAAAAAGTGTTGGTTTCCTACGAATCCGCAAGAGCGCGCGGGATGAGATTTTGACATTTTTTTTTGTTGAAAAACCATTGGTTTTTTGATGTTTTTATGTTGAAATCGCTCCGAACACTAAGCTTTTGGAAGGATTTCGTCTTGCGCGCGCGAATGTCCACTTTACCTTATTTTTTGCAAAAGGATTCTTGAAAT